TGTTGAAGAAAGCAGTAATTTAAATGTCTAGTTCATTTTTTTCCCTGTATCCAGCTATGGCATTCTGAAACAAGACTTATTTGGAAAAAAACAAAAAACAATTACACTATTATTTGTTCAAAAATAAATGAATACAGCTTTTAAGAAAACATGTTTTGGCACTCTTATAATTAGTGACAATATTTACACAGCAAACATTTGCCACTCTCAAAACAAAGAGTAATGTGTTCTGAAACTTTTAACTTTTAATTATGAAAAATACTTTACCTTAGGTGAGCATGGGTTTTAATGGTATTTTGGCTTCAAACGATAAAGCATATTTGCTTGAGTGACTAAAACTTTATTATAAAAAAGCATATTAACTGACAGATTCCTATACTCTAAGGGAACCATGGAAATTAATTAGAAAAGGTAAAGTTGTACAAATAACAGCAGAGATAATTTTAAACTGATTATTATAAGGCATTTGAAGGCACAGACAGAATGTTAGATTTGCTAAGTAACTTTGAAAGTCTGCATAAATAATTACTTTTTTGCTACTGTGCAAAAGACTACACTGCTAGTAGGTTGGATTTTATTTTGGACACTGTGTGTGCATGTATGCACGTGGGAGAGAAGAATCATAAGCAACACAAACCTCAGTCATACATCATATCTTCATGTCTTCTTCAGGTCATTGTGCGTGCAATATTAATGTGAACATAACACTTGAAATTTAGAGTTCAGAACTGAACTTTTACAAGCCTTGTATGTCTTTCACTAACATTAAGAAGTACATGTATTTTTAATTTTATTAAAAGCTGGCTAAATTATGTTTTGCTCTTTGCTTCTTATAAAGAAATAAAACTGACTTCAGCAATCACTGGAGTCCCAGGTCCTGGTGGGGTATATAAAAATCTTCTATATCACTCATAGTGTGATCTTACATGCATAGAGTGTGATCTTACATGCATACATGTAAGAAAACCGCATCCAAACTTTTTTATTATTATTAAAACCAGCTTCTTGAAGGAATAATGAGGAATGAAAAAATGGTGACACAGTTTGCATATTTTATATGATTTTAAAATACTGATCCATGTCTGGAATTAACTGTAAGAAACCCTGACCCTGAGTTGTCCCTAAAAAGAGAAATCTATTTCTTAGGTGTGAATCAATGGGTTGGACCTAGATTTAGTCATGTCATACTTAGCACAGATTAATTAAAATCATAAGATAAGCATGACTACATCTAGATTTGAGTCACTGTATTAAAATTTTAAAAATCATACGATCTTCATTTTGTAACATAATGCTAGAAGGTTCCTCTGTATTTTGTATTGGCAGCTAAAAAATGTTATGTGCCTCAATACACCTTATAAATAATGAGCATTTTTCACTTGTTTTAGTAAACATGCTAGTTTCTACTAGCAACACATTCAGGTACTATTCCCTTTGCGTATGAAAAGGTTAAAACAGCAGGTGCTTAATAACTTTCAAGGAGATCCAACTTACTTTTTGGTAAGGCTTTTGTTTTGATTAATTTGAAGACATAGTTACAAGATTCCTGTTCTATAACCCAACATAACAGGCTTTTGTTTGGCCTTTTATGTTTCAGATAAAGAAACTTTATTAGCATCCCATACTGATAAAAGCATTCCACTGTAATGTGGATACTACAAACACAGGAACTGAACTATCTTCATTGTCTTTATGCAATAGCACTGTGTTTATAGGCATTAGTCTTGCATATAGGTGGATATTCAAAACAAGAATAGAAAAAAAAATAAATCTCCCAAAAACTGCTTTTATTTCAAGTTCTGCCTGTTGTAAATGATTTAATAAAGAAGGATTAGAAACCAGCTTAACCGTTTACTTGCCATTTTGTGGCTATTTTAGGAGTTGGATAAGATGCTGCAATTAGTATCTGTTAAACTGAAGTGTTACTTGTAAGAATTGGACCACTCATACAAAAATTTATTTTAGAAAAGGTTTCAATATCCCTTAAAATATGTTTGAACCACTTTTTAGCACTTTTCTGTTTGCAAGTGTATGCTCCAAAGGCCAAAACACACAGACAGGACAATTCAGTCAAAATTTCTGACAATTACAGAAGCTGTAGAAGATCATAAAAGAAGATTGATGGTTTATTAGGGCCTTTGCATCTGTTAAGAGTTAAAGCAGCCTTCACATCTGGAGAGCACCAGGTTGGGGAAGAATTAGTGCAGAGATAGGGGCTGTGGGCACATGTATCAAGTTGAGAAACTGTCCTAGATACTACCTTTTCTGGGCCAAATGGATACACACAGCACAGAGGTTTAATACCTTTGCAGCACTTTGCTAATGAAACTGCAGAAGAAATGTACTATAGGAAATCTTGTGGGGATGTTTCCAAAAACTGACTTGGGATATTTTTCAGAATAACTTCCATCCACTTTTGGGAAGTTGCCTATTACACCTAGATATCCTTAATTCAGTGACTGTACAAACGATGACATGCATGTGTAAAGCAGCCTTAATAGACAAAAAAGCAAAGACAAAGATTTTGTATCACCACAACACTCTACTTTTCAAAAGAGGCAAATTACACATTGAGCTACAGTAATGGGAAATCATGTACGTGCATATCTGAATCAGCAGTCTGAAACTGCCATCAACCAGATTATATGTTTTGATTCCATTCACTTTAGTACAAAGATGTACGCATTTTAAATAATATAGAACTAAATTCAGCACACTATTTTCAGACTAAGCAGCTACAAGATTTGGTTCCAGTTCTCCTTACATCCATATTTAAAATGTCAGACAAAAATTGCTGCATAGAACCAGTGGACTGTATCCAGTGGTATCCTTCTGTTTATGAAAGGACTTCTCATCCATCAGAAATCCCTGCTAACTGAAAGAAGGCGACCATTTTTGCTCGTTCCTTTTCCCCACTGAAAAGTTACTCCATTGAGAATCTTCTTGGAAAAGCATGGAAGATGGCATGCAGGCTGCAAGGGGAACTAGAGAAAATTGTTGCTCCCCTTCTACTAGACAAAGGACCATTAGATTAGGGACCACTACATAAATGGAAGAACTTATTCCATTATGCACCATTACTTATAACCCCACTTAAAACCCATGTTTTCTAGGAGGCTGAGGCTCCACATGATGCAATAGAAGGGCTGCTTTCCTGACAGATAGGAAGCCCTGATGCTGAAACAGCACATCTGCTTTAGGAAGCCCCCAGAACAGATGTGGAAACCTTCTTTCCCATCACTGTCCTGCTGGTAGTTTTCTGCCAGCCTATTCTAGCAGCGTAGCCTAGAATGGGGTGTTCCAGCACAGTGCTGAGGTGGCCATAGATCTGCAGAATCCAAAGACCCCACATTACCTTCATGCAGAATATACCCAGAGACTACACCAGCCATAGAGCAGACCTAGTTAATTCTCTTCCATTATGTTCAATAGAAAGGGTTGGGGGTGGAGAACCAGAAAAAGCTATCGCCACTGATTTCCACAAAGGCTGCAATGAGCCTGCAGTCCATTGAATGTGATGGTCACTCTGAGCAGAATTTTACTACTACCCACAAAATGGTGCCATCCATTATATAGGATTATGAAAAGTGCAAGTAAAAAGAGGGAATGGCAGGCAAGAGTGCCCTACCAGAAGATGAAGAATAAGCAAAGATAGACCATCACCCAGAAGACTATAAGGACTGAGCAACCACTGGTTAGATTGTGCTTAAATTAATTTCTCTCTCAGATTTACTTCGTTTTAACCATTTAGATCCTAGAATCATGAATATATCCTTTGAAATTTGCAGTTTTTTAATATTTACAACAAGCCAGGTTGGTAGAAAGGTAAAATATGGATTTAACAAACAAAAGATACTGTTATATATCTGCATTAAAAATGAACAGTGTGATTCTGCTATGGAGCAAAAAAGATAATTTCTATGGTCTGTGACTAGCCTTATTCCCTAGCAGCGTAGGCAGCAGCAGTAGGCAGAAGGAGAGCCTCAGGATGAATACCTATATTATTGCCATTGTCACATAAACTGACTCAATCCAGAATGCAAATTCACTTCACTTTTTAAAATATAATGGTATTCTTGAAGGAAAATCCAAGTACAGTCTCATCATTCTACATATTGCCAACTGTTGCTGCCTAACAGAAAGAATCAGCCTTTACAATTAGCACAGAATTATAATTCAGAGAACAGGATATATGAATCATTATTTGTATAGAAGCATTAAGTGGCTGCAGCAAAAGTGGGTTCACAGATATGCTATAAAAATCAAAAATAATTGGTTCAGACTGTCAGAAATGGAAATTCTATAAATTATGGGAGATTTTCTCTCCATATGGTAGGAAAATATTTCTCACTAAAATCAAACACAACTGCAGACCAATATATCTTTTTTCCAAAGGTTCCATGAATATTTCTGAGATTAACCCATTCCAATAACAAACAGAGCTTCCAGTATTCAGCATTCAATATATACTGAATGCAATATATTGCATATTATTGTAAGAAGGCTATACTGCAGCAAGCTAGAGTTAGATCCAGCTGGATTTAGCACTAGGGGAAGGGAGGGGAAGGGAGGGGACTGGGCAGTCAATCAGAGTTGGCATAAAGCAGCAGCCCCAGCCAGCTTTCTATCATTTTGCATACTCTCAGAGGAGTAGCTGGTGTGGGTCTTACCATGTTTGCTGTAAGGAGGCGGGATAGAGCTCAGAAACATCATTGGCCTTCCCAGGTATTGGGAGGCCATAGCATTACGCCCCCAGGAAGTATACAATTACCACCAATATATATAAATACAAGTTGAAGATACAACTTTTTTTCTTATGTGACATTTCTTCTCATGGGATAACCTATATTAAGGCTACACTGAACAAACATGAACAGGCAAGTTTCCAATAAAAATGCTTTGGTGCATATGCTTTATATTTTAAAAACAAAGAACCATCAGTGAGATAGGTCATAGAAATGGATAATTCATAAATATTTCACATTAATTTGAATACATACCTTTTGGTACCGTATAATGAGACCATAAAGCAAAATATTTTTCTTTTTCACTTCTTTTGCAAGTTTAGCTAAGTTTTGCATTTCAGTGCTAAAACATGCCTTTTCTAAAATATCCAAGTGTACCTACAAATACAAATATAATAAAAAATTAATGTTTTCAGAAATGTTTTTATTCCTAGAGCAATTAATTGCATATTCATGTGACTGCTGTTACGTACTGCAACAAAGAAACCTTCTCCTTAATTAGCAGCATTGGGGACTCAAGTCAAGTGACTCGTTCTCAAGTCTGACTCAGTTTGTGTCAGCAACTCAACTCAGACTCGCCTTGGCAGCAATGAACAATTGACTCTACTCAACTTGAGATTTCTGCTGTTTTTACTACTGAATCATTTTCTAGTGAAGGCAGGCATGAACACAGCAGAGGTGGTGGGAGGGATGGAGTTTCCAGGAGGTGGAGGAACGATAGGGAGGAGGGGCTTGCAATGGGGCAAGGGAAGGGTTCAGCTCTTTTATGAACAAGGCAGGTGGTAGGAGGAAGGGGCAAGGAAGAGGGGGCAAGGAAGTGGGAAGCTGAGAAGGGACTTGTGTCAAAATTTTCTTGCAATGCCTTGAGACTTGACGTGAACTTGAAAGACCTTAGATATGATTCAAGACTTGGCGTAAAGGACTTGAGCTGATAATTAGTAAGTACTGAAAAGTCTCGGTCTGAAATCCTAAACTCAGTTAGTAGGGAGTGAGTCCAACCGGAAACTCTGGGACTTATTTCTGAATAAACATGCAGAGGATCATGTTGCAGGTTCAATATCTAAGAGTCCTTGTCTAATGTGCTACTTTGTAAAATGCAATGCTTTAAAAGAGTCACACATATGGGTTCTGTGCCTGCGCAGTGCTTTTGGCCGGAAGATTAACAGCTAACGGTTTTTGGCGGGAACTCTGCTCCCCCTCCCCCCTAGACCGACGTTTGCTCCCTTAATAAAGTTATTGTCATTATGACAAGAAACCAAGACTTTAGTGGTATGACAAAATATCTAAAGAGATCCTAGCACTGAAGAGAAGGAAGTCGGACCACCCATGACACCAAGCAGGGTCAGAGGGTGGGTTGTGTGACTGCACAGATGGCCACTCGAAGAATATCAGTTACAGGTAAGCAACCTGCTCTTCTTCGTCGTGGCCTCTGTGCATCACACATATGGGTAGAATAACAAGCTTACCCAAACTGGAGGAGGGAGGTGTCATCAATGAAGAACAGAAGAAAGAACAGCCCTGCCAAAAGAGCAATCTTGTCTGGCACAGACATCAAGTCTATAGTGTCTGGCAAAGGTACACGGGGTAGCCCAAGTGGCAGCTCTGCAGACGTCTTCTATCGGGACCCCCGATGCAAAGGTCGAAGGAGCAGCAACAGCCCTTGTAGAATGACCTCTTGGAGTAGATGGTAAGTCCAATTTAGCTAACTGGTAAGACAGAACAATTGTCTTCACTATCCATTTGGAAAGTCGTTGGGAAGTGACTGGGTAGCCTCGGTCATGTTCCGAGTATTTCACAAAAAGTCTATCTGAGTGTCGAACAGACTCAGACCTGGACCTATAAAAGGCTAAGCAACAACAAACATCCAGCATATGCAGAGATCTCTCTATCAGATTCGAAGGAGTTGGAAAGAAGGCTGGTAAAACAATCTCTTGCTGCATGTGAAACGAAGTAGCGACTTTCAGAAGAAAGGATGGATCCAGACGTAGAACTACCTTTTCCTTATGAAAATTCAGAAAAGGGGGGTCTACCCTAAGGGCACAAAGCTCGGAAGATCTACAGGCTGAAGTAACTGCTACGAGGAAAGCAGTCTTCCATGAGACAAGGCATAGATCAATTGTCGCCATGGGTTCGAAAGGTGGCCGAGTCAGGGCTTGTAAAACTATGGAAAGACTCCAAGTGGGCATCAGGGGCCTTATTGTTGGTTGGAAGTTACCCAATCCTCTCAAAAATCTTTTAATCAAAGGTTGAGAAAAAATGGAGAAACCGTGTACAGTTCCACGGTAGTAAGAAATCGCCGCTGTATATACTTTTATGGAAGAAGGTTTAAGTCCAGACTGATGCAATTCGACGAGAAATTGAAGAATCTGTTGAATGGAAGCCGAGGATGCCGGAAACGAGTGAGATTCGGCAAAGCTGGAGAATCTACGCCATTTCGCTGAATACGATTTTCTAGTGGATGGTCTTAATGCAGATTCGAGAATATATCACAGATCTGGGTGTAAGGTTTGTGAGGCAGAGGTAGTAGGGATTGCCGGTGGCGTTGACACCGGTGCAGCACATATGGTCATTGGATCCTCCAGGCAGTCAGTTTCAGCGACAACAGGTCTGGGTGTCAGATCGTGCCCTCCCTCTGGGTAACGAGATAAGGAAGAAGAGGGAGTTGGAGAAAATCCTCCCGAGAGATGTGAAGGAATTGAGAACCATGGCTGGCGTGGCCACCAGGGGGTAATTAGTATCCCTGTGGCTCCTTCGTGAATGATCTATGCCAGCACTCTCATGATGAGGGAAATCGGTGGGAAAGCGTAAAAAGCCATGTCGTTCCAGGGGATCATGAAGGCGTCCCCGGACGACCCCTGTCCTATCCCCACTCTGGAACAATAGTTCGTGCACACCCTGTTCTGTTGTGTGGCAAACAGGTCTATGTCTGGCTGACCCCAGCGGTGAAACAGTCTGTTGCGAACCCGACGGTCTAGTTCCCATTCATGCGACCGCGACATATGTCTGCTCAAGAGATCTGCATCTACATTGTCCATGCCCGCAAGATGTACTGCTAGAAGAGTGATACCTCTTGGTATGCACCAGTCCCAAATTTGCATGGACAGGTGGGCTAATTTCGGGGACTGGGCTCCCCCTTGTTTGTTCAAATAAAGGACCGTAGTCATGTTGTCCGAGGTCACCTGGACAACCTGGTGAAGAAGTACGTCCTCGAATGATTGCAGGGCTTTGAAAACAGCAAGAAGTTCCAGGAAGTTGATGCAGTTCCTGGAATCCCGGTGACTCCACACCCCTTGGGTACATAGGTCACAGCAAATGGCTCCCCATCCAAGAAGAGATGCGTCGGTACCGAGAGTCACTGTAGGGTACCGAGGTCAAAACGGGACACCGACATTTAAATTGGCTGGTTCTATCCACCATAACAGGGACTGAAGAACGGAGACCGGGAGTCGAATCCGTTTCGTAGGTGGATCTGTCTGTGGTCGGAACATCCCATTGAAGAACAGCTGGAGAGAGCGTAGCCTGAGTTTTGCATGCGGAACCACAGCGATGGATGCAGACATGTGTTCCAATAGGTTCTGGATAGATCGGGCAGGGACAGTTCTTTCTTGTTGAATCCGAGAGATGCACTGAGCAATAGCATGTTGTCTGTCTTGAGGAAGAAAAGCTCTTGCCAACGTCGAATCCAGCCAGGCTCCGATAAAGTTGATCGTCTGTGTAGGGAGAAGAGAAGACTTTTGTTGATTAATACAGAGTCCAAGGTGTTGTAATAGAGCACAAGTAGTCTCAACAGCAGACGAAAGTCCTGCTTTTGTGTCGGAAACCAACAACCAATCATCGAGGTACGGGTATATCCGAATTCCACGTAAATGAAGGTGTCTGCAGACAGGGGCCATACACTTCGTAAAAACTCTTGGTGCAGTGGCCAATCCAAACGGTAACACCTTGAATTCGTAGAACCACATCATAAAAACGGTCAGTGGTCCCGGTTGTTGGTGGGCTTCAATGTCCAGCGACCTCACCAGCCTGGCCATCAATTCATTGAAAGAGATGTACGGTTCTTCAGGTGACCCCGGGCCCTGCGAAGTAACCGCTGCATCTGGCGAGGTCGAGTCAGCCTCAGACTCATCAGATTCCATCCAGTAAGGGGGTGGTGCACTAGAAGAAGAATCTCCTGGCGATTCCGATCTGCTGCTTTCTCTAGATGGAGCCCTTGGGGCGTCTCTGGGCGTTGAATGGAAATGATCCCGAGGAGCTGGCGGCGAGGATCGTCCCCTGGAAACTGGGTAATAGGCCACAGATTGGAACTCTTCCCGTCTTGGAGCGGAGGAGTATCTGGAATGGTACCAGTCATCGGATCTAGCATCCGAGGAACGGCTCCTGTGGCTTCTCGGGGGAGAGATGGCAATGTCAGTATCCAAAGGGACAGGCGGCATTGGCGTTGGCGACCGAGCTCTTGGTGAAGAATGTCTTATTTCCCCATCTGAAATGGAGCCACGCCGTGGATCCAGAAGAGGTTCGGCTGCCGGTCGGCACGGTGAGCCTGGCGGAGTAACCCTCATAGCCGCCTGGATGGTTGGGACCAAGGGGATCGGTTCCGTGGCTGGAGTCGGGATCAAGGAAGTCGCCGAACCCAAGTGGCGATGCTTTGCGTGCTCGGGATTCCTCGGCTTTTTAACCGGCTTGCCCTCCTTATCTTTTTTGGCCTTCTCATGCACAGGATGTTTGTCTGGATCGCTGTGCTTTCTCCTCTCCTTTTGTTTCCTTGGTAGGGAAACAGGCTGATCGGCCATGGTAGGAGCACCTTCTTCAGAAGGGCGTGAGGGCGGAGCAATGGAGGAAGAGGCTGGGCATTGCGGCAGGTCGGCTGAAGTTGGACGGCCTTCGAGTGGAGCCACAGTTGTGGGAGGCTTAGCCACCAGCCGGTCCGATTGGAGGAGAGCCTGGTCCCACAAGAGTTTGCGGAGGCGGTTCTCCCGATTCTTCCTCGCCTGTTTGGAGAAGGCCAAACAATGGCCGCATTTATCTGTCCTGTGCCCTTCCCCCAAACAAAGGAGGCACAGGTCATGCGGGTCCGCAGCGGGCATTTTGGAGCTGCACTTCCCGTGGAACGCCGCCCGTTGCGCCATCGTAGAAATAGAAGAAAAGGAGATAGTAAAGCAGGAAAGTAATATTTTGGGGTTTTTTTTTTTTTTTTTTTTTTTTTTTAGGAACAAGAGAGAAAAAAGGTGAAAAGTGAAGAAGTAAGTGAAATACTAACTTGGTAAGAAAAAGGGAAGTTTTTCAACAAGCAAAAGATAAGTAATGATCTAAGAGAGAGTGAAGCGGCACGAGGCACAATGAACAGCGGTCGCAAAGACTGGAAAATGGCAGGCACTCCGCTCCTTATATAATGCTAGGGGGGAGGGGGGGCGGAGTTCCCACCAAAAACCGTTAGCTGTTAATCTTCCGGCCAAAGGCACTGCGCAGGTGCAGAACCCATATGTGTAATGCACAGAGGCCACGACAAAGAATTTTAGTTATAGTGAGATGCAACAAGCTAGCCAGCAGCAAAATCCTGTTTTGGAAGAACATAAGACTGATATTAATTCTTCAATTAATAGTACAGTTTTGTCTTTTCCTTGTTACAAAGGTTGCATTTTTTAAGTTATAAGTGATCCTACATGTAACAAGCCTTTTTCAGCTTAATGCTATAATGAATTAACTTACTGAGATGAGAACAACAGAATACAGGATAGAAGCATTTCTGTTTTCAAGTAGGTTCACTAGCTGATGGGTTTCTTGAAAGTCAGACAGTTTATTCTATAAAAAATAAAATTCATGTTAAAAATGCTTTTCAGAAGCATTATAGACTACCCATTCATGTACTATTTTCTTTGAAGGGGTGGATCTCTCCCCTATATTCTTCTTATATTCCATTTCCCTTTCACAACTGAAACATACAAGAAAATTGACAAGACAGGCTTACACATATTGGAGAGCTGTAAAAGTACACTTTTAAAAAACCGGACAGAAATAATAAATCAAAACAATTCTAAACATATTTATTTATTCATTTATATTACAATTTATACCCTGCCTTTTTCCTACAAAGGGCTCAAGGCAGCTTACATCATCTCTCCTCCATCTTATCCCCACAAAAACAACCCTGTGAGGTAGGTTGGGCTGAGAGTCTGTGACTGGCCCAAAGTCACCCAGTTGCCTCCATGGCTGAGCAGGGACTAGAACCCAGATCCTTTGAGTCCCAGTCCCATGCTCTTAACCACTATACCACACTGGCTCTCTGCACCATTTTCTGGGACTAGGAAAAAAAGGAAAGGTAATAAACCAGGAACAGTTGCTTTAAAATGCTGCTTGTGCACTGGCGGAGGGTTTTCACTGATGATGACAATAGCAAAATCACAAAGGGCATCAGAGGTTTAAAAAAACCCCACTATTGCTGAGCAGTTCAGTAGCTGATCACAATCCATAAACAAATTGCTCTCCTTGATTCAGATGGCATGACAACCCATAGGGTCTTAACAACCTCTTGAACAAGCCATGAGTTAGCAGAGTGTCTTGTAAATGAAAAATAAGCTACCCTGAAAGAAGCAGGGCCAAGCAGAAAAGCGGGGCGCATAGGAGACAATGTGCTTGATCTTTCCTGCTGTTTAAACCATAGGTTGTTTAAACCATAGGTTTTTGTTACATGTGAACAAGATCAAGGCATCTTCTCTGTGTAGGACTAACATAATATTCAGATTAACCACACGGGAGAATTGTGTCTGCACACCAAAGGGGATTGTTTTAAATTTATTATTTACCTAGAATGTTATATAAATAATAACAAATGATTTCAGATAATATTAATAAAATGTCACTCAGGTCATATGCATATGACAAAACAGAACAAAACCAGGTTTGCAATCCAAATTGGTTAGAAAAATGTCTTTCCAATCACAAAAATGGTAAATCTGTCAAATTCTTTGGACCTGGAAGCAGTAAGCATGTTATACTATGAGTAAAGTCTTTATTTAAACATATTTAAAATTACACACACACATGCATACGTGCTTGCAGTGCCCCCTAAGGTTACAGATGTGTGAATATATAATGGTAAATGCAACATAAATATTGCAAGTACTATAATTAAACAGATAATATTTGTCCAAATTTAGGAATACTGCTATTTTGATAGTTCAGCAAAGTAGATCTCAATGTATTAATGAAAAGACCATTGTTTGAGATGTATGCAATTATAAACCATGCCAACAATAGTTTCTCCTAGTCAGCAGTTCAAGGATCAAACAGACAAAACTGAGGTCTCCATGTAACATATGGCTCAGTTCAGCTAAAACACTGTCCTTCATAGTTCCAGGCCTGAATTTCATTTGTTTGACAGTAGACCATGAATCTTGTGTGAAGGCCAATTTTCACAAGGACACTGTGTCTAAATGATGTTGTAAGCTAAAAACATTTCCAGGCTGGTTTTGATTTTTCATAATACTTACATTTATGCAAATAAAGTTGTAACATTGTCCTAGTAAGATATTTTGTAGATGGTTATAATGTTTACAAAGAGATGTTGATATACCTTTAACCAGCTGAAAAATGAAATGAAGATTGTATTAATGAAAACATGTTTAAACAATATTGCTGAACATACATCCTAAAGCACTCAACACTGAAAGACCCATGTTTTACTTCATTCAAAACTGGAAATTAATATTTCATAGGAAAAGCATGTTTTCTAGACAATCTAATAGAAAATGCAGAATGTCCATTCAATTCGAACTATAATTATTCTACTTAACACACTTTCACAAAAACCCTGTAATTACTTTTCACACTGGAGTTACTTTGTTTTTGATACACTGCTGAGAAAAAAAAAATTATACTTACTTTCACATGCTTCTTTAGTGTTTCGTGAAGGAGAAAGCCAACCTGCACGCTATCTTCCTTTACATTAGTAAGAACACAAACTTGTTGTGATATGGCATCTAATAAAGAAATTAAAAGTCAAAAACTATTCTTAGACTTATCATTGCTTTTCTAGTGTACACACTAGATTTAAACAGGTTCTTTTCATTATTTATATGATACACTGGTATTGGTTTTACGACCAAGACATAATTTGCAAATGGCGATCAGAGAAATATCTGTGGTTGCCAAAAAAATTCCCTCTCTCCCAGGCTGAGGAGTATTCCAAGTGTATGACTTGTATGGCTTTCAAACTAACTTCCTGGTTAGTTCTACAGATAGTATCCATATTAAACTCAAGGCTTACTCAAGTTTCTGAAGACATAACAGAGCATAAACAGAACAATGCTTCATTCACAGAATCATAGAACAGTAGTTTTGGAAAGGGTGAAAAGTGCCTGGAATCCAACCCCTGCTATTGGACACTAAGTTATCCCATTTAGATGACTGTCCAGGCACTTTTTAACTGTCTCCATCAAAGGAGTGCCCATAACTTTCCCAGGTAATAGGTTCCATTGTCATACTGCTGTGACAGTGATGGAATTCTTCCTGGTATCTAGTCTAAATTTGCTTTCTTTTAACCTGAGCTCATTATTCTGTATCATGCACTCTAGAGTGAATGAGATCTTATTCTCTCCTTGTGACAGCCTTTCAGGTACTTAAATGAGTGCTATCATATCACCCTTCAGTCTTCTCTTCTGGAGGCTGAACATGCCCAGTTCTCTCAATCTTTTCTCATAGGGCTTTGCCTCCAGTCCCTGAACCATCCTTGGTGTTCTCTGTATCATTTCTAGCTTTTTAAAACTTAGGTGACACGCTAATCCAGATGAAGTCTGACTAGTGCTGAATATGGTGGAACTAGTAGTTCATATGTTTTAGAAGAACTAGTACTTCACGCTTCTTTTGATGCAGCCCAAAACAGTATTACCCTCTGTGCAGCCACATCACATTCCATGTGCAGAATGGCCTGCTTTGTGCTGGCTTCTATTGTAAATTTACAGTTATTTATGATTTATTATCAAAATAACTAGAATAATTAAGATAGTAGGTCAAGATCATATGTGATGCTAAACTATGTTTTGGAGTTACTTGATTTAAGGCTTGGGTTTGCATACATCCTTCTCTTCCACACTCCTTGAAGTTACTTCTTTGCACAACACATGATGTATGCAATTAGCTACCTCTGTATATTAGGTATGACAGCCAACTTGGGGAACTTTAAAAGAGGAGTTAACAAATGCTGGAGGTAAGGCTATAAATGTCAACTACCCATGAAGGCTACATATTACCACCAGATATCTGGTTAGCCATTGTGAGAAACAAAACATTAGACTAGACTAGAAAGGTCTCTGGTCTGATCCAGCACAGTTATTTTCTTAGAACCTGCCCATCAATTACATTCAGAATTTGCCTAAAATGTGTGGTTCATCTTCTGAGGTCCTGTTATATGTACTACTTTCTAAAGAAGTAAGAGAAATTTCTCCATGGTTATAAGGATGAAGGAAAATAATGGTTGATCTACTATTTTGGCAACATAAAACCTAGATACTATGAAAATAAAAGTTTTAAAGTAACAGATTTCAACAATGGAGAACAAACATCAGGCCTACTTGCATGACACAGATGGCTCAAAGATTGTTTAAGACTTACATAACCCTAGCACTAATCAAGGTTGTTGTTTAAGGTTGTTTAAGGCTCAGCTAACACACAAGAGCTGGACTTGCATGCATGCCACAATTGCCGATCTCCCTGATTCAGCACTGCATATTCAAAATAGCAGTAACATGCACTCTGTGCATGTGCATGGCTCTTCATCAGTTAAATATGAGAACCAGTATGGTGTGGTGGCTAGTGCTGGACTGGTCATTACGGGTCATTTTTAGGCCCTCACTCAGCCATGAAACCCACTGAGTGACTTGGACTCAGTTGCAGAGTGCCAACCCAACCTACATCACAGGGTTGTTGTTGAAGATAATATGAAGTCATTTAAGCCATCTCTGGTTCCCTACAGGAGTGAAGATGTAGGATATAAATGCAATAATAAGAAAAGAAACCATAATGACCTGGCCATGACATGAGAATGAGGTCATTGTTTTGTCTTTCTAACTACCCTTGAGAGGCCCCCAGATATGACTGAAAGCCACATTTCATGTTAAGTCTGTCCAAATACAGATTCTATGGCCTGAACATGAGTCATTTTTTTAGTATCTCCCACATTGTTTACTTGTTTTTACTATGTTGCATGATGAAAAGCTCTGATGAACTCAAGGCTTGCATAGTATTTTGTGATCTGAATTGGCCTAATAAAGGCAATAGGATGATGGATTTGTAACATTTTCTGTTGGAATTTTGCTTCTGGCCTACACAACTACCTTAGCTTTTTGTGTTCAAATACAGAATCAGTAGGCTTTCCAATAATAAAATAACTGTTGAAGAAGTAACAAGTTCAAGCAGGGCACAACATGTTACTTTCTTCTTAAGGGTAGTCCAGCTATGAACATATCAGTTACTACCTGGATTTTTAAAAGTAAGACTAAATGATTGTAACTAGTTACAAGCTGGAATTTGGCATCACCTAATCATAAGAAGTTAGCAACCAAGCAAATGTGCAAATCAGAGTTAGACTTCTAACAAAACAGAGATTCATTGCACTTATTTTTAAATGCACATTTCAAGATATACCTGAAAGGCAGGCTGAAACTTTAAAGTTTACATGTTTCAACTAGAGGTTCAAAGATAAGTGCCCTAGGGGAAGAAGCCCTTAAAGAGATTTTTTCAGGATGTTTTTGTAATATCCAGGTTCCAACTACCTTTCTGAATGAGTCATCCCAACTGCAGGATGAGGTTTCCCTATTTGCAGACTAATAATACAAGAAGGAAAAAAGACAGACATGCGCCACATTGTCTGAACATCCAGCAAGTTCCTACCTGCTTTAAAGAGCATTAAGATCGCTTTTTTGTTAAATCAGTGTTCCATTATTTGCAACATTAGTTCTAAGAGAAAGATTTACAAAAGCTAAAAAATGCATCATTATATGTTAAGAAATCATTTTCTGAAGATAAGTGACTCAAATGGTTTACATATTGCAACCACATTGCTTAGCAGTTGAACTATCATTCTGTTTTTCTTACCTACATCAGTGCTCAGTTTAACTGAATGGAATGTTTCCTTTATCAACAGCTTAGTTTGCCTACAGTGGAAAACTTTCCTGAGATTTCCTGAAGCATTTGGAACTTGTTAACTCTATTTGCATAGGTAGGATTACACTTGCCATATATATCACCAAATATTGTTTATATAATTAAAAGCAAATGACATGCTAATTTCTTTTAAACTAGCTTAGACCATATATTTTAATTGTGATTTGATCAAGTCATATTAAAAACAACAAAGACAAGTAGGTTATAATTTAATTTTTGTTTAAATTTAATTCCCAACAAAATATCTAAATAAACATTACAGTGTATAACAGCTTAATGGCACTTCAGCACATCATCTCATTGCAATTATTACAATTACCACCATACAAAGAGAGACTTTGGTTTACAGCTTAGGAAGTAATCCTATGGTCACTAAGGCTGGAACTGGACTCTGACTTAAAAGCATTCTCCCTGCATTCTTTTAACCAGCACAGATTCTTTCCTAGTGGGCTGTACCTCTGAGGTTGGAAGTACCAGTGTCTTGTGTACATAAAGAGAGGCAGGGAGAGGAAAAGTGAGGCTCTGATGTATTGTGGCAGTACCTCAGCTCAACTGCAGCTAAGGGCAAGAGAAGTCTCTGTCTCAGTATGATTCCTGTAATCCTCCAGATTCAGGTTACAGACAGCCACATCCGGTGATGTTGCTCATGAGCTGGCCTCAGCTCTATATAACTCTGGCTCACTAATCGACATGCTATTGTATACTGAAACTATTTTCACTTCTGTGAATAGGTAAAATTAGATACTACACATATTCTAGGAATCAGGGAACCTGATTAACTGAATGCTGTTTGAAATTGAAGCTGAGGCTATTCCATATTACTTTCCTTATGCTTACTAATAAGCAGCCCCATTTCTTCACATTCATCCCTTGCCTCTCATTTCCCTTTGTGACTCCCTGACTTTAACATCTAGATCACAGGATTCTCAGAACAAGACCCATTTGATTTTTTTAAAAACTTTTGATATTCTATATATACTAATTTATAAATAAAGGATACTGCATTATTGGGACTATTAAGTTGTGCTTGTTAGACAAAGATGCTTAAATACCTTTCAGGTGTTAAGGGTGTAGAATCAATGACATCTATGTAGATTCAAATTGCATCCTTTATAACTGATTAGATCATCTTTAGGACATAATTGTGCATCCATAGTTTGATAATTTCTTATTTAATTAACAGAGGAGTGATACACAGTTAAATCAATGCATTTATATGGATGGACCAAGACCTAAATTTCAAAAATTTGCATGCCTTTTAAAAAATCTGAGTCCTAAGTCTATTATACTGAAATAAGTATCACAGCAGTGAACTCTTTATTTAGGTGAATATATTCTGTTGATAGTTTGTAAATATTTGAATTCTCTGAACTCCTTATACTGCGGAGTATATATATTCCTTATATATATACTCCTTATATATAATGAGGATGCAGTTGGGCTAGTTGTGAAGGCTATCATACTAGCATTTGATCATTCTTAATGCCCAATTAGATATTAGGTATACACGTTAGCCATTAGAAAGGCATGCACTATGCCACAAAGATTCCCCGGTACAATAGAGGATAGGTAACCTACCCAGGAGCCATGTGGTTAATCGTCTGGGCTACATATCTAATCAATAAATAAATAAATATGTATTTGTGTGTGTGTGTGTGTGTGTACACACGATTGGGGGATTTAAGGAAAAATGCTTGGAATCATGTGCAAATACACAATGTGATAGATCCAGACTTAATCATATTTAGATGTGACTCACTGAAATCAAGGAACCTTAAGTCAGTCAACCTCAATCAGAAATTTCTTGATTTCAGTGGGTCTAACAAAACAAAGCACACAGGATGAAGAGGAAAATGGAAAACTAAAGATACATCTGGTTATCTTCATTTTCTGCTAAGATAACTAGGAGAATGTTTGCCAAGAAATGTTCACTGAGAGAAGAAAAGTATCAGTATTGTTTTAGACTGTTTTGTTTACATAAATTAAATTCAGCTTTTTAGTCTTGGCATATTTGACTGATTTAATAGCTTGTTAGTTTGAGCTTGTACGGCAAGTGTGGGCGGGAGTAACAAGTCTGCACAACAAATACAATTTTGCTTTGTTGAGAGTGTGCCCAAATGCCTGGATAAATACACAACATGCAGTATAGTTTTAGCTTATTGCAATCAGTTTGGTATTTGTTATTTATAAATCAGCTTTTCACATAATAATTCTTCAGATTTAATGGGTCTCAAAAAAGTGCAGCAGACAAAACATTTTAGCACAAATATTTTAAATAATATATTTATACAGATTTGGAAGTCAAGATTCAATTGTGTGTCTAATTTTTAGATCCAGTTTGGGACTTCAAACCTACCTACAAACACTGAACTCATAATTTTATTAATTCCAGTGCTGAAAACCACAGTAGCAGTCTTAAAACATCAACTGAATAATTAAATCCAAGTGTATTTAGATGATACTTACAAAAATAAGTCTAGTCTGACTAGAAGGGCTCAGGTATTAATATTGCATCCAGTAACATCTCTCAGGGCTGGCTGCTTCCCTCCGGAGGGAGAGGAAACTACATAACACTTTGGCTATCATTCTGTCCTCTCCTCTGTGGAGATTAGGAGTTTAGTGCAACAGCCACAAGTAAAAGGAAATATTAGAATGGGGGTACAGATACAAATGTGACGCTCTTGCATCTTGCTTGGCTAATAAAAGAAACATGCTTATCTGGTATGTGCTGCTGTGGCAAGGCTTCAAGTGTAACACAAGAGCTTGTTGCTTCAAAGAAGAAACAGGGATCGTTTGGGATGAAGATATCCTTCTTTGTTGTTATGGCTATATGCCTTCCCCTTAAATGTGCTGTCTACCAGAGATGAACCAGTTGCCAACTTGGCATAAGCTGACAAGGCCCTTTGCCTTCCCACACTAAAATAAAACTGAGAAGTAAGTCGGAAAACAAAGGTAACATCACAGACATAGAAGCAGGAACCTCACCTCAACAAGAATCTTCAATAAGAAAAAAATTAGTAACTAATTGTATCATATGCATGAGGAAATGAAAATGCTCTAAATTCCTTAATGTAACTGAAATTTTCCCCTTAGATGAGGGGAAAGGATGATAGTCATTTAGAATTTTAACATCCCAAACAATTGAAACTAACATCACACCAAACTGTACTTATTTCTATCCCAGCTTTTAGGGTTATCTGCCCTCAAGGGAGCTTATAATTTCATATTCATTTAATGAAATCCCTAGCTTTGGATTTCCACTTTCCTTAACAGATAACTTGCACAGGCAGCTAAAGTCCACCAAGTCCTCCACTCAGGTGAAGGTGTTTTCTTCACTTGAGTAACCTCACTAGAACTCAGTTCCAGACACCTTAAATTGACCACACAGTAACTACAAGAACTTACATGTCACCCAGCAGTTGACGAATAGTTCTCTGCCCATATTCTATCTGAACAATTCTCTTATCCTTGTCTTTCCGCTGCAATACAACCCTTTGTGATGCTTAAACATGCTTCACAGCATCACACTCTGGATGATTACTGGACTTTAAGTCCAAACTCATCAATTTTTGTTTCCCTACCTCAATTCTCTGCACTGACTCTTTCTACCCTGACTTTGCACCAGCCTTCTACATGTTCATTTGCAGAAAGACTTGCAGCCTTCCAACAGCAAAAGATTACAGCATAGTGTTAGACACAGTTTATTAAACTGATACGTTGTGCTAAGAGTATCCTGACTCAAAGATACTAATGTTGCAGAATCTCTAAAAATCTTTCACTGACTGAGATGGGAAAATCAGTCTTAACATGAAATGTGAAAGAGTCAGAAGGTACATGATGCTGATACTTTTCTAAAGTAAGGAGGACTGAGTTTGGTCAATTCCTGAAAGTGGGGGACCGGGGGGCCACACTGGAATCCTATGTACATTACCTTGAGGTCCATGATAGAAGAAAGGCTCAATAAATGTACCCAAATGATTTTTTATACATTTCACTCAGATACAGCCTGAAAAGACATATCCATATATAGGAGACCTGAAATGGAAGCTATGCAAAATAGCAGATTTAGTTTGGTGACTATATAAACTGACAGGCACAAGGACAATCACATACCCTTAATTAAAGAATCAGCTGCATACAGGTCCCGTTTGTAGGTCACCTGCAATATAGATAAACTTAATTAGATCTAATTTCTTGAAGAAAGTTTTAAAAATTCAGTAAAACTATCCAAAGGCAGTTCTTCACAACGAGGTACCATGAACAGATGATATTCTTAATAACAATACTTAGCAACATACCATAAAGGAAAAAAGTTTTAAAATCATAAACTTTTAATGACCTACATTTGTACTGAATGTTTACAATCTGTTAAGAATTAATTTTAATTCATCATTCTTTCTGTAACATTGCATTTGGTTTACCCTTGAAATGTTATCCTTCTGAAAGTGCTTACTATTCTCTATTTTAGTGAAATAGTGCATTTTCTATTTGCATATTTTCACAGAGGTGCACAACATAAAATGTCTGGACAGCCACTATTCCCATTGGTACTAGCCAAAGTACACTACTCTGAGGTATAATGGAAATTAAAGGCCAGAACCTGTAGAAAGCCATAAATTGCCCACCTCTGCTTTCCAATCAATATTCTATTTGAGAAATCAATCACATTTTATTTTACTAACAGCCAGGATTATGGTTACTCTAATATTCTGAATGTGTGAATCCTGTCCTGATTTACAAAGTATTCATGTTATTTCTACATGAACTATTTCTTCATTGCTAATATCGGGCAGTGGAAGCATATCCAACCTAACTTGTACAACAGAACACATATCTCAAAAGGAGAATCTACATTAGCAACCGAAACACTTTTATTTTCCAAATTGGTATTGCCCAGACAAAGAAAGCCAAAAAGAAATAATTGTCAAAAAGGCGGATTAGCAGAAAACTGTATAAATGAAAAGATTAAATATTATGAATCTAGTAAAATTCTAACCTGTACAATAACAAAGAGTTTAGTCAGGGTTTGTAGTCCAATTTTCTGTTGCTTTAAGTTTTGATGGTTTAAAATCTGTTTTGTGTTGTACACCACTTTAAGGGGCTCATAGTTGAAAGGGAGTATGCAACTATTTAAATACACAAAGAAAACTTTAACCTGCAACTGCCTAGCAGTGTAAATATCTAGTTATCACCTATTTGTCAAATTCTGTTTCTTACAAAAATGCTTTCCTCTTTACTCAAGTGGACAAAATATTGCTCCTACCTTCCATAAGTCAGGGGTTCCTTCAATAAGTTTAGCATTTGTTTTGCTGTATTTCAGAGCCAGATGCAAACATTCTGTTCCATAGTCCAAGTCATAATCACTACACTGTAGGAAAAGTATTGAAAAGTGCATTGCAGAGTAAGTTTAGATATAGTATTACATTTATATTACTTTAGCTCCACAAATAAGCATTGCTCCGCAACTGAATACATATTGGCCTGTGTTTGGCTAACAGACTCATGTCCATCAAATCTGCATGATAAAAGAAAAGTGCCGACAAGAACACACACAATGGTGGGAATGGATCACCTTTGCAACAGGCCAAATACCCTTAGATGACACACATGTAAGCAGCCCCTATCACGCTCCCCACCCATCTAACTTTCTGCCATACAACAGCTGCATATTGTTTCAAGCTGTAGCTGATGCTTGTCAGTACTGGGGTAACATTGGTGCTCCCAGACAAGGGCTTTATGATGCCATCACCCTGTCACATTCCTGAAAATTTATGGCGGGGTCTAGATGTCATCTTCTACTTGTTTCCTTTGCATGTTTCCTTACCACTTCTTTCATTTTTTCCCTTGATGAAGACAACTAGTTCAGAAATAACAGACAGAATCGCTACACAATGTCTTAGGACAGCTGAGGCATGCCCTCCATCTGAAACTACCTAGTATCAATACCAACATTATCACATCAGTCTAGGAGCCAGTTTGCAATGCAAGAACATGCTCTGTATTACTGTGCTGGGAGAGCTATAGCCAGACATGCCTTTGCTGGTATTAGGCCACATAGCACTGGGGTGCTTAATGTCATGTTAATTATTGCCAGTGTGTTCTCACTAAACGGGAAGTATTGTCAAAATTGCTGTGAATTAGCAAATAAATGGAAGTCAGAAATGCTAAGTAGAAATGACAGGAGTTGCAGTCCAACACATCTGGAGGGCATCAGGCTGGGAAAGGCTGCTCTAAACATAGCATAGCTCCTATCATGGTATTTATTTATTTTTTCGGTTTATATCCTGCCTTTTTCCTACAAAGGGCTCAAGGCAGCTTACATCTCCTCCTCCATCTTATCCCCACAACAACAACCCTGTGAGGTAGGTTGGGCTGAGAGTCTGTGACTGGCCCGAAGTCACCCAGTTGGCTCCATGGCTGAGCGGGGACTAGAACCCAGATCGTCTGAGCCCCAGTCCCATGCTCTTAACCACTACACCACACTGGCTCTGGTAGAACTCCTCTTGTAGCGTCTCTCTCCAAGCTGGGAGAATGGGCATCAAAATGGCAAATGCAGTTCAATGTTAGCAAGTATAAAGTAATGCCTGTTGGGCAAAAACTCTCAACCTCAAGATAGCCTTATGGGATCTGAACTAGCAGTGACTGAGCAAGAAAAGGATCTTTGAGTATTGGTGAACAGCTCAATGAAAATGCTGTCCCTGTGCACAGCTGCTGTGAAATAGGCAAACTGCATGCTAGGCATAATTAGGAACAGAATAAAAAATAGAACTGCTAAGATCTTAGTCTCCTTATACAAATCTTTGAAACAATCACACTTAGAATACTGTGTTCCATTCTGGTCACTTCATCTGAAAAAAGGACTTTACTTTTGGAAACTGGAAAACCCAGAAAGGCAATGAAAATGAACATGGAGCTGGAACAGCTCCCCTATGAAGAGCGGCTGCAACAACTGGGACTGTTCAGCTTAGGAAAAAAAGTTAAGGAAGGGGAAACATGATAGAAGTATTTAAAAATGCTAAGTATGGAAAAAGTAGAGAGGGGAAGATTTTTCTCCCTCTTCCCTAACACTGTAACTTGGGTGTCAGTGTGTGAGGCTGACTGGTAGGAGATTTAGGCCAGATAGAAGAAATTCTTTACACAACATATAGTAAAACTATGGAATTCACTGCCCCAGGAAGTGGTGATGGCCACCAATTTGGATGGCTTTAAAAGAGGACTGGGCACATTCATGGATGGCAAGGCTATCAGTGGCTACTAGCCTGGCTGGATATATGATACTTCCTATCTCAGAGATGACCTGCCAGCATATACACCAGTTGAAATGCTTGGGTAGGTAGAGGTCTTGCATCTATCCTGCTTAAGGGATCCTGTGGACAGTTGGTTGAACTAGATTAAAAGTTGGTCTTATCCACCATGGCTTTTCTTATATTCTTATATTCTTATTGAGAAAATTCTGGAGAGATTCAGGCTAATGGAAATTAATCAGTGTCAAGAAGTAGAATTTTGATAAAACTACTGTGAATTCCTAACCCAAGTAGAAAATCAAAGCGAATAAATAGCAGAAGGTCTTCCACAACACCAACAGGAATGCAAGCTGAACTCACTATAACAATGCCAATCAGTATGACAAGGCAACCTGTGTTGATCCACAAGAGTGAAAAGTGCAGGAGTTTACCTGGAGAAACCTCAGTCTCAATACCTCTCTGCTTCAGTGATAGCAACTGTGGTGTTCCTTAGCAATCACAGAGGGGAGGCAAGATGAGACAAGATAAAGTGTAGCTTGCTGCAAACAAGATCCCCAAACTGACGATGCCACCTACTAAGTTAAGCTGTCAGGATCCTGTATTTGCAATATGCAGAAATAGGCGTGTTTCCTCCTCCCATTTCAGGGTCCCTATTCATATTCATGCTTGGTTGCCACTGCTCACAAAAAACCAAGTATGACTAAGAACATGAAGATATCTCTATATAGATAGGGGGTGGGTAGAATATTAACTATTGATTTAGATGTACCCATATGTGTGATGCAAAGAGACCATGAAGAACTATAGCAATCACGCAGAGATCTTGTATTTCACAAGCTCGGTAGAGCATAAAAGCAGGTTGCTTACCTGTAACTGATGTTCTTCGAGTGGCCATCTGTGCATTCACACATATGGGTTGCTGCGCCTGCGCAGTGCCTAGGCCGGAAGATTAGAAAGCTAACGATTTTTGGAGGGAAAACTCCGCTCCCCTCCCCCTTCGTGGTATAAATAGAGTGGAGTGTCCGCCATTTTACTCAGTCTTGAAGACTGCACGTTCACCCTCTAGAGGTTAAGAATAAAAGTAATGAGAAAACACAATTATATCCAAACGGTACCAATGTGAATTATAGTACGGTACTGAGAACAATATCTAGTCAGTGATATAACCCAACGGTACCGATGCAAATTATATTTCGGTACCGACAACAATAACCACCCAGCGACATAACCCAAACGGTACCGATGCAAATTATAGTACGGTATCGAGAAAAACGATATCCACTCACTGACACCGAGTGGGGCCAGCGGGTGGGTTGTGTGAATGCACAGATAGCCACTCGAAGAACATCAGTTACAGGTAAGCAACCTGCTTTTCTTCGTCGTGGCCTCTGTGCATCACACATATGGGTGATTCGCAAGCTTACCACAGTCAGAGGAGGGAAGTGTCGACAGTGAAGAATGGATGAGAGAACAGCTCTACCAAAAGAGCAGTCTTGTCTGGCACGTACATCACGCTGATAGTGCTTGGAGAAAGTACATGGACCAGCCCAGATCGCAGCTCTGCAGATGTCTTGCAGCAAAACCCCTGCGGCAAAAGCGGACGAGGTCGCTACTGCTCGTGTAGAGTGGCCACTTGGAAAGACAGGTAAGTCTATTTTCGATAGCTGATAAGCCAGGACAATAGTCTGGACGATCCAATTAGAGAGTCTCTGAGATGATATCGGTGATCCCTTTTCACGCTCGGAGTATTTAACAAAAAGTCTATTAGTAGTATGAAAAGATTCAGTGTGGGATCTGTAAAAGGCCAAGCAACGGCGAACATCAAGCATGTGTAGAGCACGTTCTATCGGATTCAAAGGCGATGGAAAGAATGCTGGCAGAACGATGTCCTGATTCAGGTGGAACGGTGTGGCCACCTTGGGTAAAAAGGAGAAATCCATCCAAAGGACGACTTTTTCCTTATGGAAGTTCAGAAATGGTGGGTCGATGCGGAGAGCACAAATCTCGCTAGCTCTCCGTGCTGATGTAACTGCTATGAGAAAGACAGTTTTCCATGACACCAGGCCACAGTTGCTAAAGGCTCGAACGGTGGTTTGTTAAGTGCTTGGAGCACTACAGAAAGACTCCACGTTGGCATGGCAGGGCGAATAGATGGATGTAAATTTTGTAGTCCCTTAATGAAACGCCGAACCAGCGGTTGAGAGAAGACTGATAATCCGTAGATAGTGCCACGATAATGGGATATAGCGGCTGCATAAACTTTGATGGATGATGGTTTAAGTCCCTCATGATGCAAATGCAAGAGAAATTGTAAAATATTGGTGACTGAAGCTGTTCCAGGGGAAAAGGAATGGCACTCTGCAAAAGAGGAGAATTTTCTCCATTTAGCCATATAGGAATGACGAGTGGATGGTCTTAATGCAGATTCAAGAATCGCCTGAATTTCTCTGTCCGTAGGCATTGGTACCGCGGCAGTTGCTGTCGAATTCGAAGTCGGGGCCGCATATACCGTCTGTTGAGTAAGGTCACCCGTAGGGTGAGGTGTCCCCAGTACCAACTCAGTGGCGTGAATCAGGTGATCCACCATGCCGCTTCAGAGAGAGTATATCCGGATGACGGATTGCTCCTCCTTGTTGTGTTAACACATGCAGAAGAGTTGGTAGATGAAGGAACGTTCCTCTGGACAGCAGCAAAAGAGTGGCAAACCATGGTTGTCTTGGCAACCACGGAGTCACTAGTATCCCTGTGGCATTGTCCTGGGCTATTTTCACAACCACTCTTTGTCAGGAGTGGGATCGGGGGAAACGCATAAAAAGTCATGCTGTTCCAAGGGACCATAAGAGCGTCCCCCATCGATCCCAGCCCAACGCCCGCTCTGGAACAGTATAGGACACACAGGCTGTTCTCTCGAGTGGCAAACAGGTCCACATCTGGATAACCCCACAAGCGGAAAAGTTTCTCGCAAATTTGTTTGTCCAACTCCCATTCGTGGGTTGTTGATATCTGTCTGCTTAATGTATCTGCTTCAACGTTGTCGGTTCCAGCCAGATGAACTGCCATAAGCACGATGTTCCTTGGTATGCACCAGTCCCAAATGTCCATCGATAGGCATGCTAAGGCTGGGGATTTTGTGCCCCCCTGCTTGTTGATGTAGAAAGCTGCCGCTATGTTGTCTGATGCAATTTGGACGACTTGACGGCATAACACAGTCTCAAAAGCCTTGAGGGCGTTGAAAATCGCCAGAAGTTCCAGGAAGTTGATATGTTTCCTCGCCTCTCGTCGGTTCCAAGCACCTTGGACCCGAAGTCCCGAACATGCCGCACCCCATCCAAGGAGGGATGCGTCGGTGTACAGAGTTGTCATTGGCCGAGGTGGTCAAAAGCAGGCCCTTGGTACGCGACAGCCACATCAGGGGATGTGGAGTCGACCTCCGAATCCTCGGTTTTTGCTTGAGGAGGAGGAGGTTTCCGGGGAGGTTGGGCACCTCGTCTCTGTACGCCTGGAGGTGGATGGTACATCCCTCGGGACCGATGGTGATCTATGATCCCGAGGAAAATAGGGATATGGTGGTAGCCACCCCAGCCGGGGGGAGCACCATATCCCGGGATCAACCAACTCTCATCTCGATGTTCGGATGAAAGGCTGCAACATCTGGGAGGTAATGGTGAGGCCACATGAGGTTCAGTTGGTGGCATAGGTGTTGGCGAGCGGTCCCTCGGAGGGGAGTCTCTGATTTCGCCATCAGAGATGGACTCCTGAAGCGGCTCCTCCTGTTGCTGGGGAGGTACGCTCTCAGGCCGAGTGGTTGGCCTGGGGGATCCCGGTGGAGTCACCTGCATAACGAGTTGCAGGGCCGGTCCCGAGGGGGTCGGTACCGTGGTGGCCGTCGGTACTGAAAAGCCCGATGAACCTGAGCCCCGGTGTTTTGGGCAATCAGGTTTCTTGCTCTTGCGAGTGGGCTTATCCACCTTCTCCTTCCTCAACTTCTTATGGGTGGAAGGTTTATCCAGACCGGTATGCTTGCGCTTATCCCGTTTCTTAGCTGGGGGAGAAGGCAGTGACTGAGCCTCCATAGAAGTGGCACCTTCGTCTGAAGGACGCTGAGGAGGATTGGCAGAGGTCGAGGAAGGACACTTTGCTGGAGCACTCATGGTGGAGGAAGAGCGCTGAGGAGGCGCGGACGAAGAGGAACCAGGCCGTAGGAGCAGTTGGTCAGACTGCATTAATGCCTGATCCCATAGGAGCTTCCTGAGACGATTCTCCCTGTTTTTCTGCACCTGCTTGGTAAACGCCAAGCAATGACCGCATTTTTCGGTCCTATGCCCTCGCCGAGGCAGAGGAGGCATAGATCATGTGGATCGGCCGGCGACATTTTAGATCCACATTCAATACATTTGTGGAACGCCGCCTGCTGCACCATCGCAGAAAAATGAAGAAAAGAGGACAGTATAGAAGGTAAGATAATATTTTTGGTTTTTTATATATACAGAGAAGAGAATTTAAGAAGAAACGGACAGAATCGGGAAGAAGAACAAACTTGGAGCAAGAGGAGTTTAAGGTTGTTGAGAGAAAAAACAACGAAGAGGCACAGAGTTATAGTGAGAGATGAACAGGCACGAGGCACAGTGAACGGCAGTCGCAAAGACTGAGTAAAATGGTGGACACTCCGCTCTATTTATACCATGAAGGGGGGAGGGGAGCGGAGTTTTCCCGCCAAAAACCGTTAGCTTTCTAATCTTCGGGCCTAGGCACTGCGCAGGCGCAGCAACCCATATGTGTGATACACAGAGGCCATGACAAAGAACTTCAACTAGCACTGAATAAGTACCTTAAATAATATCTTAAGTAGTGCTCAAATTTAAATGACTTTGGCTGAATAATAAAAAATCCTTCACATAACATCAAATGATTTTGCAAAGTATTAGGAGATATAAAACATATACAAAGTTAAGAAAAAAGGATTTTAAATGACATTGTTATACATGGTACATTGAAGCATTTAACATAACAGATGCTTACAGAAGGCTTGTATTTTACAGAAATGAGGGAGTGGAAAGCTTTGAGAGATGAAGGACTATGTATGTTATTATCCCATTAGTAAAATTGTCACTTTCCTCCTTCCCAATGTATTACACAATTTCTTTAAAACTTTCCACACCATCCCCTAATTATCCAGTAAGGTCCGTACTAGATCCTGAATACCACCACTTTGCCAACAAGATAATCAAGGGCAGAGATATCTAAAATAGTCAAGTTCACTCAGACCACCAATCTTGTTTCAGCTTATGTATAACTTAAAATATTACTGAACTAGTGTAATGAACATTATTAAAACAAAACTCTATAGGTCTCATTTAGATACTTTCTTCCTGACACACAATGAGGTGGGCAGATGGTGTAGGCATGCTTCCTGCTTATGCTTTGTGGAAAGTTAGCATCAATAGAGGTTGCCATAAAACAGTATGAATTGGAAGCAGATGAGAAACACTGAGCTAGAGAAGTCCAAACAATTTTTGGACCCTACTTCTTCCTCTTTCATGTATGGTCAAAACTAACTATCATTAAAATACAGGGAACAAGGATGAACAGCTCCCATGTTTTTTCTGAGAAAATCCAGTGTGTCTGCAGACTAAAAATACATTAGAGAGCAGATTATGGGAAGAAAACAAATAAAGTTAAGAATAAATTTAAGGAACTTTAAAAGTTGCTTAGGCTGCAAACCTATGCACACCTACCAGGGACTATGTCTGCTGAAATCCATAGGACTTACTTCAGAGTAAATTGTATATTATTAGCTTACATTCATATACTTCCTTTCTTTGTGCAAGGAAACAAAGGGATCGTACAAGGTTTTCTTCTGCATTTTATCCTCACAATAATTCTGTGAAGTATGTTACACTGAGACTACATGACTGGCCCAAAGTCATTTAGTCAGCATCATGGCTGAGTGAGGACTAGGACTCAGTTTTTCCAAGTCCTAGTTCAACACTCTAACTACTATGTGACACCAGATCTCAGGATTGCACTGTTGGGAAACTATTTCAGTTTCAACAAAAATGAGCTTATACATCGCACTTCTAGAGTTAAAATTTAATCTTTTGCTTCAGGTCAACAGACCCAGGGAGGAAAGCGGCCCAATTACTGGATCTAGGAAACAAAATGCTCTGAGTGGTAATGCCTAGTCTGCATGATAGCCTACATTAAACTTTACCCCACAGGCCAGGAGCCAACCTAAGGACCAGAATAATATTAAAACATGGAGGAGCAGAATATATACAAGGTAGACTACTATGGCATGGCATGAGAGTTGAAGGGGACCAATAAGGTCATCAAGTCCAACCCTTTATCTGCTTCCACAAGTGGTCACTGATCCAAGCACAGCTCTGTGCCTTTCCAGCTTAGCAAAAGTGACTTGACATGCTAGAACCAGCTTTATTTCTCTGGGCATTTGATATTCATTGCACATAAAACTTTTCATACAGTATCCATTATTTTATTCAGTAATACATGCAAGTCAGTTGCCTCTTATAGAACACTGCAGAAGAACACAGTGAGTAGCTTTTTTTAAATTCCAGAATTCTTACCTGATGATATGCTTGATGGATTATATCAAATAGGAAAGCCTGAGGCATTTCACTTGCACTGTACTTGGCACGATCTAGTGAATGGTCTAAACATCCATCTGCAGAGGAAGCAATAACAGTGGAGACAAGAGGACGGATTGCTCCTGCCGCCTAGGGAACACACACAAAAAGTCTTTAAATATAGATTTGCATGTTTACCTTAGTTAATCTCTGCTTAAAAAACAATTCCAAACAAATTAAAAGATTGAGTTCCACATGTATTGTTGGCCTGAACCAGACAGGCACTGAACTCTTTGTGGGATATATTTTACATCCTATTCCAAATTACTTGAGTGAAAGTTGAGTGTTATGCATTACATTTCTATCCAGACTCATGCATGATATTGTATTTGGTAGTGTAAATGAACACTAAACACTAAATATACAGACTAACACAAACTATTCATAATTATAAAAAATTAGTTAGATCATACATTCTTTTCACACTTTCAGGACTTCCAGTATGAGAGGCAGAACCCTATTTCATCAGCAACATTGAAGAGCTAACTAACACAATTTCATACATTCTAAATTATGTGTATGAACTATGTATTCATGACAAAATATTAATGTGATTGGTACATGAACAGCAGATCTATCCCTGAACCTATGATCAGAGGTTCAAAGATTGCCCAGGTATGTGGAAAAACAGATGGCCAGGTCACCAAGTGGAATGCAATTGAAACATAAGGCACATCTCACCAAATACATAGTACCATACAAGTTATCCCTAAAACTATCAAGAACAGAAAACAGCTGCTGAAGCCCAACATTACACTGTATATCATATCCACTGACATACAGTGACCTAGGAACAGATTTTTTGTATGTCTATTTCCTAAATAGCTTGTATGCAACATAAAAGATTTATCTGGATTTTAAGTTACCTTTAAATGAATTTTAAGAGGACATGATTCTGTGTTCTGGTTACACTGAAAGGTTAATTTATTTAAATGAATTTATATCTATTTTAAACTGTGAAGCATAACACCTTATTTTTACCTGTTTAAAATGGTAGGCTACTTATGCTCTGGAAAGTTTGACATGTGCTCCAAACATATATGAAATATGCATAAGAAAAAACATGTGGCTTCTAAAAGTAGCCACAGAAATTTAGCAGATAAAACAGCCCTTCCTGTATAGTTACATGCAGCTATTTAGCATTATAGTGTCTCCTTGGCCATGCTTGCAGATGACCTAGTCTTAGCACCTAAATAGGTATTAAATATATTCTGGTCAGAATTATGGCATAATAGGGGTGTTGTGGGGGACACTGCACTGGAATATTTAAGAAGCCATGTTCCTCACAGTGGTAGGAACAATGCTTTCATAGCAATACAAAACAGAACATTCCAAATTCAGGTTTAGGGAACTTATTAGTAACCCCCAAAGCATACTGACTACAGGTACCAGCTTTGCAGTGGGAAAATCACAAATAAGAGATGGGGGTTTGAACTCCACCAGTGGGTTTGTGTGACACCCAAGGCTTACTTCTGAGTGCTCAGTCAGAAACTATGAGTTTAGATTCTAGAGTGGGAAGGCAGGCTCACAAAAGGCCATTTGCAGTGTCTCAGTGGAAGGCCCTTTCCTCTGTTCCCTAAGCCCCAGTTACCCCAATGAACAGAATCCAATTAAAGGAGCCCGATTTAAAAATTTAGACCAATGGAACAATGCCTTAAACAGTCAATCCAGATTCATTTCCTAGCTATGGTCTCACAGGGAAAATGGAAGACACACATGGATACAAATTCTTCAGGCAGTACAGTACTGGTGCCACCCTAGCAGTCTTCTGGAGCTGACCATTAACACCTCTTCCTTTGAACACATTTTCTCTTAATATCCTTAAAGAAGACAGAAACATGGTCTGCAAAAGCACATGATTCTGAATCTGCTCTTCTCTTGCCAAAGCCAATTTTATCTATTTTTTATCTCTTGAACTGGTGGAGGTCTGTCAGTAACAGTGGTGCTACATTGATAGCAAAACCTGCCCTAGTGTATCTCCGGGCTCTGCAAATATAGAATAACTTATAAGAGATCCTCTCCCTGCCCAGCAGGCACAAACTTAAGCCAGAGATAGTATTGCTTATTGCTCTGTAAATCAATATGATTAATGTCATTTCATTGTAATTCATCACACTCCTTCCACATGTTACTGCACCGAAAATATTACTTTACACCACTGAAACAACTTCCATTAGTCGGCATTTATAGCCACATGTATTTTTTAAACTAAAGTAGAAGTACCTGTGTATTTACGTTGGCAACAGGTAGGAACATGTACTTCTGTTCAGACATCTACATTCTTGCCACTTACATCTCTAGTAATCAACATGGTTCAGCCACATACTGTAATTACTACTTCTGTTAGCAGAACTGTCTTAAAAAAATACATCCTCTAAGTTTACAGAATGCCATTTTCAAAGATAAAGCACATACTGGCAATTATAAGATTAAAATATTTCAACTATTTCTAAAAACTAAACTTTTGTATATTTGAACATGAAATTGATATTGCATTAAGCTACTATTTTAGCATTAAAGTGATTGTAGAAGAATTCATTTAATTTAATAGCCATACAAAACTGAAGATTAGTTTGCAGCCACTACAAGAACCAACATTTATATGCCATTTTGTTTCTTTGTTGTTGAGTCTATGGTTAGTACATTCATTATGCTCTTATAAGACCTGGAGCCCATTCCCTCTAACAAGATTTGGTACACAGTGTACACCATCCAATGCCTCATGAGGTTCTAATGCAAACAGGGACTGCACCATCTCCTTCAAGTGCTCTGTGCACTTATGTTCATCGTGCACAAAAGAAATTCCACAGACTGTAGATATGACACTGTACCATAGAGTTATGAAGAGTTATGAGAGTTATGAAGGCACCACTCTGGAGCCAGAAGGGGTACCAGCTTGGATAGAAGCTACACAATGAACAATATCTTCAAGACTCTTCCACAATATTCACCAAAAAAGCATAACAAAGGAAGAATGAGAATAGTAAAGATCGTTTCTTCAGTTCTTGTCCCTGAAGATACAGCAGTGTGGTTATTAGTGCAATGGCTCAACAGATGAAACAGATGGACTGAAAGTCATTTTTTAAAAATTCAAAATTCCATTCTGACAGCTCCTAATGCAGAATTTCACTGATGTTCCTTTTGTTGTCATGTTACCAGCTTGCTTTTATTTTTATTTAGTGCCTTAAAAGACTCAAATATTAAAATGTGCCAGAAATCAGTGTAATTGAAAATTTACTTCAGCAGAAAGCTGAAAGACCCAAACTACATGTTGGGTTGAATCCAGATTTTGTCACAGAAAGCAATGGGTCACCTGTTAGTTATTAATCCCTTACATCAAACCAATTTCAGACACTCTATTGTAAGTATCAGCCCTTTATATTTTCACTTTTCCACTATTCTTCCAAACTGCAAAGTACCCTGCTTATATTTCTCTTTACTCACCTGCAAGCAGAGACAACAGAAGCAGCAGCAGAGAAAAACAAGAAGGAAGAAAACTTTGCTTCTTCCCTTCCTCCACCTTCTGTCAGCCTGACACATTCTGCAACATGGCAGGACTAAATGAGCAGCAGTCTTTGGGACTTGGACTCTTTCATCTTGGAAAGTAGCCTTTAGGGTTTTGCTAAAAGGGGATTAATAACTGTTGTTGTGCAAAGGCCTTTTAAGCAGTGTTATCAAGTACACTATTGTCAACGAGGCGTTAACTCCATTAAGCCAAAGTAACCAAAAAATCTTTGACAAGTACAGGTAAGACTTCTTGGGTCTCTAGAATAGTCTCCCTGATTCTGTTACCTTGACTTGCTCAAGACACATGTCTATATCCGTATGAATCCTATGAAAGCTAATCCAAATTCAGGGAATGAACCCTTCTGGAACATAAAGTGGGTGGAGATAGATTTGGTTTTAATGCTGGGTAAACATGTATCTCTACAGCCTTGCCTGTATTCCTCTTCAGCTGGTTCCAAATCTAGTATTAACCAAAATACACAAGAATATATTAGGTAATATTTTAGGTCAGGAATGAGAAGAAGATCGATCTACAAATGTCTCGAACTTCATCTTCCTCAAGGTCCTGCTGGTATATTGAATGATCAAGAATGCTAAAAGCTGAAGTACAAAACAACTGGAAATTAACCTTCTACCCATCCTTGTTCTAGGTGGTGATGTCAGCCTAAGCACCAAAGTGGAGCTGAGCTGGTGCTTATTTTGGTTCCTGAGTAGTTGGTATCAAGACCCTGGCCTAAGGTTTAATCAATAAAGTAAACTGATGGCCAGTTATTAATATATCTTATATGGTATCATACTAAAACTATGAGCAAGTAAGGACTGAATTATTACTTTCCGGTTCCTCAAGTGTCCAGTCTCAAATTGACTTAATTTATAATGCTGGGAATGAACTGTTGAACCTATCTAATCTCTTCTGTGAAAACAGAAAATGTCATGAGTCACTGAAGAGAACATTTAACATAATTTTGAATCAGACAAAGAGAGACGGGTAAATTATAATTTATCTTTAAGGTTGTTTACCCAGCTGGAGGAGGCCAATTGTAAAACTTGCTACAATAACAACAGTAGGAAGGAAGCTTTACTATGTTTATTCCTAAATGCAAAATAGACAGATGATCAACAACTTAATGGACAGTTTAAATGAATATTACTAACCTGACATCATGGCTCATATTAAGCTGACCTTGAAACACAGGGTAGCCTCACAGAATGGCTTTTTGCACAGAATAGTAAGCCAGAATTCTGGAAAACTTCAGGCTTATATGCACAGCAATTTAGCTTCTGGCTGGCTCTCTTTACAATTCACAATCAATGGAGTGTTTCCATACAAGCAGTAGAGTCTCCTCTTCACAAAGTTGTCGCTCATGAAGGAAGGAAGGGACTACACTAGAATACTCCTTGTCCATATACCTATTTATTTTACCCCTTTCTGGGCATTTACACAGGGCTACTATGGTCATCTGATAAGCTTGGACATTGTGCTATATCAAACAGTATACAAGTAGTATTAATAATAAAAAACTGATTTTGATACCTGGTTAGTTTAGCTTTTCCCACTGGTGGGAAATCTGAAAAAAGGGAGC